GCCGTGTGTTAGTGCACCATTTAGCTTCAAGCTGTTTGCTTAACTTTACATCTCGGGTAGAACAAATTTATTCAGATGCATAAGGCCTATTGAATAGTTAAGCTCAGTGTGCACTTTGCATCAAATTCCAGGTTTTAACTTGACAACATGATCAGCAAGTTGGTTTCTGCCTTCAGTGAAGTTATTCGGATGGACAATACTTATCGCATGATTGTCCTCTCCGCTTAGAATTCACTTACCATGCAGCACTAGTCTCATTTTCGATTCTAAAGGCTAGTCTACATTTCGACTAGATAGGTTGCTGTCTTTAGTAAAGTTAATCATATGGATAAACTCAGATCAGAATTTTCATACCTGTTGGCGCAAATGTACCATTTCACGTTTGTTCGGTTCCAACTGGAATTATGCGTCTGACTTCAACTTTCATTTTATTTGTCGTTACTTGGGAAATGGTGACTGTAGAAAACACATATAAGATCACATAAGATACTATCTGCTATGATCGATTCTCTTCATCGACTTTCTCTTTTGATAACCACTGCTATGCACACAGATTTCGCACTATTTACACCACATGGTTTGATAAAGGAGGAGTTATTAACGAAAGAGAAAGTCGATGGAGAGAATCGGTAAATGCAGATAGAACATTTTGAAATGTTTATCTAGATATTCAATTTGCGTGGCAATCTTTCTCGAAACAAAAAAAGGCCAAACAAATGGAAGTTATGAAAACTATAACTACAACAAGATCGATATGTTGTATATATATCCTATATCCTAAGAGTTTCCTACATTGCCCCGTAACGCCGGTAGATCATCTTTTCGTGGTACGTTACGGGATGAAAGATCTACCACCGATTCCTAGTCCTGACTACTTCAGACTAGGGGAACAGGATTTTTCAGTAATCAAAGGAACGTATCTTAGTCCTTGTTACTTTTTATGCCTTGTTGGTAGTGATAAGTCCTCGGGTTGCCTGGACCGAGGATGATCTTGAAACAAGGAAAAACTTAGTTAGTTAGTCTTCATCTATGTGATTCCTAATCTTCTATTCGTTGTTCCCTAGTTTGAAGTGGTTAAGACTAGGGTTCTGATTCATGGTCATTATCGGTGTCATTGTTTGTTTTTGTTGCTAAGGAATCCAGTTTTGATTGACAAAGGGGCGTACTTTTGGAGGGTGTTCCAACACTCCGAAGGGTATAAATAGCGGGACCTTTCAATTAAAATCGATTCATTGCGATGAAGGCAAGAATCACAACTGTATGAAAACCGAATACTTCATCATTTCTCAATAGTGATGGAGTAATACGACATGCACTTAACTAAGGACACGGGATATACTACAGTAGATCAAATTTAAAAAAATCCTAAGAGCTTCTGGAATCACGTGAAAGATCAACGAAAGGAATCGGGTCTGCCCTCCACGATGTTCAACGGGGATCGAGAAATGTATAATGTTGATGGTATTGCGGATCTATTCAGGTCATATTTCTGCAGTGTTTTCGTCAACGAGGAGTTCTCTGACGAACAAGTTCAGTTGTTGATTTTCATCCACCTATATCGAGAGATGACGTTCAAACAGCAGGCCTTCACTTAAAAAAATTCTTCCAGTATTGGCCCGGATGGAATTCCATCTGTGGTGATTACAAACTGTATAGGAGCCTTTAGCGCACCACTAGCACAGACAAACAGACATAACACTTACAAGTTGTTCATCGAACAAGCATTTAACGGTCAATTTAAAAGTATCGTAGTTGGTAGTACCGCCACCTGTGGCGCGCATAGTCAATACCCTTGCGTTTGACGTTTACACACTACCGCCATCTGTTCAGAGTACTACCCACCACAGTGTACTCAACAGATGGCGGTAATGTTTTAGCGACGATGTTTTACAGTGAGAAATATTCAATGTGTTATGTCTGTTTGTCTGTGCCACTAGTATTCATATTCAACCTCTCGTTGAATTCTGGAATCTTCCCTGATGGCTGGAAGAATTCCCTTGTTTTTCCTGTCTTCAAGAAAGGCGATAAACAGTCAGTAATCAACTATCGAGTCATTGCGGCTTTGTGTGCAGTTTCAAAACTTTTTGAGCTGATAGTTTTGGATTATTTTAAACACACTTGCTCCAGTTACGTTGCCTCCGAACAACATAGATTTATGCAGAAGGGATCCACTGCATCAAATCTCGTGCAATACACATCTTTTATAATTCGCGAGCTTGAAAAAGGCGAACAAGTTGATGCTATCTACACGGATCTCTCTGCTGCGTTTGATAAAATGAACCACAAGATTGCTGTTGCCAACTTAGAGCGATTAGGCTTCCATGGTCCCCTTCTTAATTGGCTTCGTTCTTACCTCACCGGTCGTCAAATGTCAGTGAAAATAGGTGACCGTATTTCTCAGTCGTTTCCGGTTTCTTCTGGTGTACCCCAAGGTAGTCATATTGGGCCGTTCATATTTCTGCTGTATTTGAATGACATTCACTATTCAATCAGGTGTCCGAAGCTATCTTATGCGGATGATTTTAAACTGTATTTTGTCGTTAAGGATCGTAGTGATTCAGTTTTCCTTCAACAACAGCTGGACGTTTTTGCTACCTGTTATCACAAGAATAGGATGGTATTGAATGCTTCCAAATGTTCCATCATCACTTTCTGCAGAAAAAAATCACCCACCTGCTTTACGTACAGCCTCAGGGTCAGACACTGAATCGGGAGACTATAGTCAGCTTGGCTTTATTTTTTGCTTTGCTAAAGATTTCAGAGACACTTCGTGCTTGAAAACGCTTTATTGTTCACTAGTCCGTTCGACACGACGTTCAGTAGTTTGGGCGCCGTTTTACTATAATGCCATGAATCGTCTTGAGTCTATTTAGAGGAGATTTGTTCGCTATGCTCTTCGTTGGCTACCCTGGAAAGACCCTGTAAACCTCCCTAATTATGAAAGTCGATGTAACTTGCTGAGCCTACAACTTCTCAGTGTTCGCCGTGACGTCGCTAAGGCTGTCTTCATCGCCGATCTCCTCCGTTCGGACATTGAAGAGTCGATTTGCGAACCCACTCTTTCTTTACGATCCTCGCACAAACTATGATGCAAACGAACCAATTACCAGCATGTGTAACATTTTTAATAAATGTTATAACTTTTTTGACTTCAATGCTTCCCGTGCTAGCCTTAAGTATTTATTCTATAATGTTTTATCATCCTGATTAAGTCAAGATAAATGTTTCCTGATTTAGTTGAAGTATATATGTTTCTGTAGGATTTTATGTTATCTGTTGATACGAAAAGAAGAGGTTTTCCACCCACTTGAGAAGGTGCAAGGTTGGTCCTTCTGAAGTGGGCTTTTCCCTCTCAAATAAATAAATAAAAAATAAAATAAATAAATAAACCAACCAATATTTCTTAATCATCTGAACAACTTTGCCCGAAACAAAAAAATCAATTTCCTGTATATCTAGTCAAGCTGTAGCACATTTAAGTATGAAATTAACCAGTTAGTCAAGCTTCTGCATTCATTTTACATCAGATGTCACTGTTGTTGTTTGCGGTGACCTCTATCAGAAACTATGCATAATCTGTTTTCCGTATAATCTAACTTGACTTGCAAAGTTTTACGGGTATTTAATCGGTATAAGCTAGAAACTCCGAATTTCATGAAAAATGTCTTCAAAATTAGTTTCCCGCAGAATTTGTCTCTAAATACCGTCAACTCTTCTGAATTTCTATTGAACCAGCTATGCAATTCCCTTTAAATTCTCATTAGAATTCCCTGTCCAAGTAACAAATTTGGTGCTAATATTACCATTTCATTCGTACTTATTCAATAGCTATAGTTATTAATATAGATAAATCGTTCTACATTCAATACTCCTCTCGTCAACTAGACTACCGTGATTGTAATTGTTTTGGGATTAAGCAGCTCGGTGGCCTAGTCGCGTCCGATTTTGCTTACTGAGCAGAAGACCGACTCAAGTTTCTTCGCGCTGTCGAATCGTTAGGACATCAATTCAATATCGTTTACCAAAAAGAATCCTGCTGCAATCCCAACCCTTTTATCAAACATCCCAGTAATTTCTCGTGGACTTCCAGAGGTGTTCTTGGCTTTCATTAAAGCTTACGTCAACATATTCCTACCCATTCCTTTCTTGACCAGCATTCGGACGTGGCTGGCGCTGGTATTGCCTAATTTTAGATCACCAGTGTTTACACATTGAGGATGAATTCTAGTCCCAAGCAACGTCTATTGGTAATTACAGCTGATCTGGCAATAACGGACTAATAGAAGATATGTGTAATCAAAGTCGAAAAAAGTCATAACGAGGGAGCGTATTTATCATATGGTATTTTCCGCATGACGTATCACTACTAAAACTCTGAGCATATTTATGTAAAGTCAAATAAAAATGAACCCCAAAAATGGTTGATATTTTATAATTAATGAAGCTGATAAAAAAAACGGTCTGCTGAATACGAGCCTTACTTAACCCGCCTGCTAAGCATGCATAGACCGAAAGAGCGTGAAGAAGGTCTACCAACACATTCACAGCTCTCAGCCCTCACGCACCCACCATCAGTAAGGCAAAAACGACAACGGTTTGGAATAAACAATCAGAAAAAAGAGCCAATGAGAGTGGGAGAGCCACCAACGTCGGAGCGAGAGGCCGAGTCTGAGTATGATTTCAACATCGATTACATCCAACCAGCCGTCACCGTCACCACCGTCAGCAGGCAGCAGCAGTAATAGTAGAATGGAATGTACAGGAATTCCATTCGATTACAGGCTGGCATTCCTGAACCGAGTCCACAGAGAAGCCGGTCTCCCCAGGCATGACCCACTCCGATGATAACACCGCCCTCGTTTCATTCCCTGCACAATGTTTTAATTAAATTTGACAATTCCATTGCATGGTCTGCCAGATGCAGGTGAGCCACATTCCAATGCAACTTGAATTGCAATGGAATGTGTTTAGGGGTGCTTCGTAGATTTGCTTAAACTTACATTTCACACAAGTCCACGTGAATGAAGGTGTGCTCCTCTAATCCATATGGCTCCGTTCCGGGACACGCCGAGATCGATAATCCTAAAAACACACACCGCTCGCTGCTAGTAGTACTGGGACAGGCTCTGGCCCAGGTTGGTGTTCAACGAGAATACACGAACTTCACACTCTTTTTCACGAATCACACGACAATCTTCTCCTCGGCTCTCCTCTTCTGGCAGCGCCGGATCAATAATTCTTTTCCCTACCACGGGACTTCAAGAGCACCTCTCGGACACACCAGGAAAAAAGAAGGCGACACACCACCGAAAGTGACACTTGGACTTCTTACAGATATTCACCGATAATTCACTTGGAAAGCACTGGAATTTTCACTCGTAACGGATAGATTTGCCCGCAAGGACAATAAATCAAATAAACACCACTCCAGCAAACAAAAACATCACACAAAAACTCAACAAACGCGTACCGCTTCGAACAGACCGATATTTCTTGCTCGCAAAGGCAAAGCAGGCTGGGCCACACATAGCATAACACACGAGACTCGTTTTTTTTTTTTTTTTTTGCGCTGCCTACTAGGTACTCCTGTCATCGACCAACGAGAAAAATATTTTCACTCACTAGTTTTCCATGTGAATCTTCTCTCTGCTCTCCCGTCTCTGATCAGCACGTTATTGTTTCTTCCACAATGTACACTCTCTTATGGATTGCTCTCTTCTCGATCCATCTGCATGCATCTCTTTACACTAGAAGACACAAAACGCTGGAACACGCAATTTTACTTTCCTTGCACTGGAAAACTGCTACACAGATTGAAGCGTAATTCTCCACTGAACAATAACGATTAATTATCAACTCAACGTCACCTAAACAGGTTTCCAAAAACAATTCATATTCACTCGCTTCTTCAACCTTCAAACCATCACCGACATCGAAATTTGTATTGTGCAACGGCGTGAAGAAGACACAACCCGTCCAAAAACAACGGAAAACTAGCACGGTCGGTTATCCCTACGGATTCACTCAAGTGTGACAATCGGCAATTGTAATCAACACACAACGACTAGTTCGCGTTCGCGTCTTGTACACTTTCAGCTAGATAGATCACCACCGACCGACCGTGAGAAACCAGCGATTCGCAAAACCACTCTCGCCTCTCTGCTCACTCTCACTTCGATCCAATAGATTCGAAAACTGCACGTGAGAGAGCAACAACAAACGGCAGCACCCTTCAACGTAAAGAGCACCACCACCTTAACTTTAGCACGGACAAAACAGGCAAAGGCTTCGGAGCCATACACGAAACGCGACCACTGCGCGCAACTGGAAAACAAGCACTAAAGGAAAGGGTGTAATCCCCTACACTCGCGCTTTACTCTCTCGCTCTTTTACTCATTCCAAACACCACCCTCTGCCCCGCCACCACCTTCCGCGATCAATTTCTCAAAAGAGCACACGAGGATGCCGACTTTTGACGTTTTGTTTTGAACCCGTCGTCGCTGCGCGGGTGGTGGCGTGGGCTCGATCCCGCTCTATACATACACATGCCACCTGCCGCCAGCCAGTGGTTGTGGTGACGAAACTCTGCTCACAGCCCGGTGAGAAGCGAGATGCTGCTGAGTTGGGGAGACACTGCACAGCTGTGCTGCGAGGCTGAGTGGAGCAAAATCTGCCACATGGGTCGCTGGCTGATGGCTGGAAACGAAGCTAGCAGGCTCAAACTGTGACAAGGTGAACGTGGAAATGATACGCGGAACACAAATGGAAAGTAAATAGGTAGGTATGCGGTACTTATTTTTTTCATCAAATTTATCAATAGACCTCCCCCAGTTAGCTCAAGATTATTGACAAATCTCGATTACTTTTTCCTAGGGACGTATCAGCTTTTGTAAACAATGCATTTGATCGTCGGTTTGACGTAACTGATAGCTCGCCCACGCATATTTAAACGCTTATACTACTATAAGGTAGATGACGATTTTCCCGTTTTCTCTTCGAAAATTTAATCGAGAAATGTTAAAATTTTCCTAGTAGGACGTATTTTCTAACTCTCATAATTCATATCTTTTTCAAGTTTTTCGACCCTTCGAAATTTGATTGGTTCATAAAACATGCCGTTTTTCGAAGTCCATTTGACCGAACATTATTGGAATGCTTTGAATTTTTTTTTTCAAGAGTTTAAAACTTCGAAGAATTTTCGAGAGGATTTAAAAAAAAGGAATTCTCCAAAGGAATTTTGAGTAGAATTGAAAAAAAAATCCACGGAAATTTCGAGCTGAAATTCTGGTAAATTATTCGGAGAATTTTATGATAGTTCTGAAGGAACTGTGATGAGAAATCCAAGTGAGTACTATCGATAATTTATATGGCATTCGGAAGAACAGTCAGTGTCAGTTGCAATGCGCAAAACAATCCTCGACTTCCTTGAATACTTTCCTCTGTCTATATCCCTTCCTTTGGCAGTAGTAGCAGTAGAAAATTAGTATAAGTAATAATAAGCACAATTGAAGAATTTTACAGCTGACAATGATCCGGTTGTTGAATAAAATTATAATAATGGAAAACAATCTAAAATAATCCTAAGTATTAATCCAAAGCGATTCTGAGTAGATTTTTAAATTAATCTCGTGAAGAATTCCAAGGGAACAGAATTCCGAGGGCGGTTAAGGGGTTACGCCTACCTGCAAACTTTCAAAAAATCGATTTTTTTATTGTTATAATCGAAAGTATATAAAGTCAGGAATATTTCCTCAAAAGATCAAGTTGATCCGATGAAAATTGTGAAAGTTATGCGACGTACAAAAATATTCACTTATAGTGGACTAAACCCAACTTGAAACTTTAAACGCGATTATCTCGGAATCATATTTTCAAAACCGGTGCCAAAAATTTCTCGAAATGTATACATTCAATTCGTCCGACTCGTTTTGATTTCTGTTCAGTACTATTTTGTGCAGTCTACGATCGTTCGGATTTCGTCTATCATTTAATTTCGATTTTTTACAGCCGATCAAAGACAAATTTTAAGGATCAAAAATCGGCACTTCAACTTTGCAAGGCCGCCATTTTGTCAAAAAAATAAAAAAAAAACCGAACGATCAAGGACTAGTTTAACACATGCTTAACGATTTGGCATGGTTTTTTTTTTATTTCAGATGATTACATCACAAACCGCAGTTGGCACCGCAAAAAGCGTTTTTTAGAACATCGTCCACGGGGAGCAGCCGTGCGGGGCACCAGGACCTCGTTTTTACAACATCGACTGATAAATGTACCATTTAATGTGTGTTCAATAAACGGCAGAAAACCGATTTTCAATATGTTGCGTCGTTTTCGAGAAAAAAAAAATCCAAACTTTCGCTTTTTTTGGTCTTGCAGGTAGGCGTAACCCTTTAATAAAATGAGAATAATTCCAGTTATTTGAAGATTTTTTCTAATAGAATTTTAAGAAAATCTATAAAAGCATTTCTAGGGAATACTGCGAAGTTATAAAGAGGTATTTTGAAAACAATTTACAGTGTTCTTGGAATAAACTCATAGAAATTCTAAGGAGAGGGAGGATAAATTCCACATACTAATGATATCATGTAAAAGGGAAATCGGAAGAGAATTTGGAAGGAAGAAGGAGAGTTTTTCGAAATGTTTTTGGAAGATTCTGATGAAAGTTCAGAAATTTAGAGCATACTTCAAACGCAGCTACAGAAAGTAGGCTCTGCCCGCGAACGGTTGATTTTGTTTTCGCTGGCGCTGATTTCATCTGTTTTCCGCAGTCGACAAAATATTATTTTTCGCGTGTGGGTTAGTGTAAATTAAGATCTATCGCGTTTTAAGAAGCTTTTTAGTCATATTGTAACATGAAAACTCTGGGACAAGAATTTGTTTTGAGTAGCTGTTTTGCTGTGGTGTCGCGTTGGTCGGTTTTTCTTTTCGCTTGTTTTTGGTGCTTTGCCTCCCTCCCAAGAAAAACTTTAACGGGTATTTTTGTCTTTTCTTGGTGTTGACGTTCTGCCTTCCGGAAGAAGCACGCGAATTTGGTGCAATTGAAAAACTTCGCATGTGATTCAAAATGTTGTGTTCGGTTGTAAAAAACAACGCGGAAGATTTTTTCGATTACCGCGAGTGAACAAATCGGTGCTTTTTCGGAGGCAGAATTTGGTGGGATCCATCTGATTATAAATCAATCATAAATGCATATTTCGATATATTACTAAATACGTGCCAGATTTCGAAATCTGGAAGTGTGTTTGTAGTACTATTATTCATATGAAAACGGTAGTGTTTACATGTGGGGCTTATTGCATGTGAAAGCAACCTCGGAATGGACGTGAATTACCAGGCATTCTGAAATAGGTTGCTGAATCTGCAGTAGAGCTATCGCTTTCTAACTCCCGGACTAAACTTGTTCTAAATTATTACCTACATCAAGGATTGTTGTAAGAAAATTTCTTCCATTATACCACTGCCGGCCAGTGGGGATTAGATTGAAGACACATACTTCAAACGCAGCTACAGAAATAGCATAAAGTAATACTGAAGAGTTTACCACGAACCTTCTAAGGATTGTCCCAGGAGAATTTTAAAAATTATTCGAAATTATGGTTTGCATAAATGATTTTATTGTGAATTAAAAAGAATATGAACTAAAATTAAAATGTTTACAGGTTTAGCGGAGAACTTAAAGCTCTAACTAGTCTGGAATATTTCTTCGTGGTGCTGCTCTTTAACTTGTTAGGGTTAATGTCCCTAATGTCGACCTAAGTGTCCCCAAACATAAGTTTCGAAGGAAAGCAGGATTTTTATCGAGGAGTCCAATCTTTAGATCCCTAGGCCAACATTAGAGCCATTTCCCCTGTATGGTAAAATGGAATTCAGCTGCCACCAATAGCAAATTATTTTTTTCAAGTCCTAACATTCAGTGTTCACTCGGCTGTCGATAGAAGCAGGCCACTCTCGATGTGTGTCACACGATCGTCTGTTTACTCGGCAGCAACCATTGTTTGGTCCTCCCCATTGTTCTTCATCAGCAGCTATTTCGGTCGATGCGTCGGCAACTTTGGAAAGCAACCGTTTCGTGATAAGTGTGTGAGTACTGGAATGGAAGCACTCTGCCCCCCGTTGACGATACTGCCATACAATGAAACCACTGGAAGCGGCTCTCGTTCTGATGGAGGAGGCTTATTGAATAATAGAAGATAAAGTATATATTGTGCTGTGCCTTTTGACTATAGTTTTAAGATGTATTGTATAGTGAACAAGAATCCTCGATTCTGTAAAGTTAATTCGGTTCAGCCTTATCAAACACATTAATAATCAACCAACTCCAAACATTGACATGTTATTCTAAGCCATTGTATCGTGAAAATTGTCCTATTTTTGAAACTGGTTTTCACTGACTTGCAATTATTTTTCCCAAATCTCAGGTTATGTAAACATTCTAAGTTAAGTTAATGCTTTACTATGGATGTTACAACAATGCTTTTCGTCTTATTAAGTAGACTGCCATCATGGAGCTGTGTCGTGGTCTGTGATCTCAAAAATAGTTTCTAAGTCCCATTAAATGTATCTTGAAAATAGTTTTCATTCTTAAAAATTGTTTTCAGTATTTCTAAGTTTAATAAATATTTCTTTCTAAATTCATGACCGTTAAGTCCTACTTTCCAAAATTTTACATATAGTTCATACTCTGAGATATTACCATTTCTCCTTATTTTAATATAATTTAGATTTTTTAAGAGTGGTATCATCGAAGGTCATTTCACCGAATGGGGCATTTCACCGAAGTATGAAACCTAAAAATTATCAAACCAACCAAAAAAATAAATGTGGTTGGAGAAGTGTGGTTGGAGAAGTGTGGTTGGAGAAGTGTGGTTGGATAAGTGTGGTTCCGTTACAGTACGACAGTGTGAAAATCGTATAAAGAAAGCATAAAGCGATCAAAGGATAATTTTGAGGAAGGTATGAATCGGGTCGAGCATCACCTTTACCAAACTAATCCGGTAATGCCACCACTGGCAAGACGGATGAACGCCGATTCGCTCGTCTACCTTCGATTTGCGGGAACAGCTCTATCGCTTGTTTCACGCTCAAGTCGCCATGTGACGTAAGCAACTAGCCGATAGGTAAATGGTAAATGAAGTAATGAAATTGGGTTGTTAATGCAATGCTCAAAAGCAGCAAAAAAGGTTATCTTCCATTTAATTCCCCTTAACTAATTTTCGACTACAATGTGCAGTTTTCATCAGTGTCAATCCCAATAAAGACATATCCAAATATAAGTATTTTAGAATAAAATGCCAA